CAGAGTTAAAATGAGATCTGAGACTAATCAAAAAGGTTGTGTGAGATGCAACCTAGCAATGCGAGAACAGAAAGAAAACACTGAGCACACTAATGAGATGACAGAAAGCGCAATTTCACAACCTGAGTCAAATCAAACAACAATGGTAGCTGGGACAGTATTGACCAATTGTCATGAGTGTTAAGCATCAAAGAGCCTTAAACTAATGAGGAACATCAAGTCTAGGTGCAGCTTTGCGTAGATCAATGGTTCAACAAACACGTAATTGCTTGTTTTACAAAACAAAAGTAGAACAATTATGAGTAAATATACAAGAAAACATGTAGTTTATTGGTTATAATGCTGACAAATAAAAAACAAACATAAGATGTATAAATTGTCTAAAATAAAACTGAAGGTGTCGGTGTCTTTCCTCTGTTTATCCTTTTTCTTTTTCTTCATCATGCGACTTGTCATGGTATATCCAGCTTACCATGTACAGAAACTGGCTTCCTGCATGTGTTCGAGTAGCTTTACTCTTCTATCCATTCTACTTTTACTAGCGCATACTGAGTAGACTTTGTCATCCACGTGACAAACTAGCATCCATAACCCATTCTCTTTGAAGTACAGTCAGCTTAGGAGCACATCTGAAGCCAAATTTCAGAAATGTCTTTTAATATTTATAGACAACAGGGACAAGCGGCTTGGCAGCTCTGTGTCGCTTAATCACTAATTCTTAGTCTGATTTGTTTGTCAGCAAATGAAAAAAATCCAAAAAATCATCTATTAACAATAACAGAAATCAGATCAGTTCAGGATTGTCAAGGGATAAAAAATAAAGACGCCAATTGTTTGGCTCTTAAAGAAAACTGCCTCACTATGTTTACACCTAAAATAAGACCTGGACTCCTTGGAGATTTCGGTTTCTGCTCTCCAGCTGTTAGTCAGTTGTACAAACGATGATGGATGAATAACACACGTGCCTGCAGGAAATCTGAAAAGCTGTGGAGGCTACATTCACAAAGGTTAGATTTTTCTGTAGCTGGAAGAACATTTTAACAGGCAGCAGAGAAGGTCAGATTTGTCTCTCTGGGCTTAAAGCAAGAATCTGCCCTTTTTGACTGCAAACCAAATCCAAAAATAAATAAATCAACTTCTCTAATAAGAAAAGAAACATGTAATACCTCTATATACTCAAATGCATTAGATGAATTTGACTTGTTTTTTTTTTTTACTGGCTCAGAGTTTCCATTCTGCTATTGTGGAGACCAATCAGCAGTGGACTGTCACGCTGTTTCTAAGCGGAGAGAGCTGCATCAAATATTAATGATGGTGAGAGACAGGGTCTGCACCATGTTATGTAAAAATGACTTAAAAACTGTTTGCAATGGTATAGAAGAAATAGTGGAAATGATTAGCACAACAGATTAATGTTTAAAAAGGACAGTAAGGATAGTTTATGTTGAAACAGTAGAATTAAGCATGTGAAAGTTGACAACTATTGCATCAAACATTAGCAGCAGAAGTTTTGGGCTAATTTACATTATTATTGGTGGAGATATATAGCAGAAAGACTTCAGTAGTTATCGTATCTGATCGATAACTACCAGTAGAAAAATAAGGGAGATTGTAGAGAAGTAGCTCTATAATTGATGTATCAATAACACCCGTTTTTTCTTCATTTATTATCTTTCTTTATCCTGATTATTGTGGCAAGGGATCAAGGCCTAATCCAGCTGTCACTGAACAAGATGGAGGATAAGTTTTGGGGGCTCTGAAAGTCCATCACACAGTCTTTCATTTTAAGCTTCTGAATTTTCCTGAAGAAAAGACAAAGACGAAAATGAAACACTCAAATGAAAAGTTCGAAAGTGAGAAAAACTCATTTTTTTCTCACTACAAAGCATTTGCTTTGTAGGAACGCAAGTCGGTACTGTGATCTGTAAAAACTCATTAGTTAACAAAGGAATTAGGTCACTAAGTGGTTTACCTATACTAGAATAAATCATCAAAACAAAAATCCTCAAAAAGAAATACAAATATTTCTACCATTGCCAAGAAAATAATTGCTTTGCCAAATAAGCTTTAAAAAACCAAAACGGTAGCCAGCTTATGTAGATGTTGCACCCCAATAATCAACGCACATTTTCAATTAACTCCTTTGTAATAATTGTTTACTTAGCAATAAATTGAAAATAATTGCTAAATAATTAATAATTACACTGAAGTGTTCGTGTGATTGGAGGCTTTAATGTATTTTTAGAGTATTTACATGACAGTGTGAAATACCAGGATATGATTAAATAAAAACCTAAAAAGTGTGACATGGATTCATATTTAGCACTTTCACTCTGATATCCCCAATCTAAATCAAAAAATGGTCTTTGTTATTGCTATTCAATAGTCTGACTCCTTTGCAAATACTATTCAGTTTCCAGAAATGCCAGACATACTAGAAGCTCTTATTGCAGTGAAAGCTGTTATTGTCAGGGTCTTGGGTTGTTTGAGCTGGTTTGGGGTTTTATCAGTTTCCTTTATTTTATTAGATCAGGCATGTTTCTGTTTTCTTTTGTTCAGTCTTGTCTTAGTGATTCTAGTTTATTAGGTTTATTTCTTGTTTCTAGTCCTTTCTTAGTTTAGTTTTGTTTCTTATGTTTAGTCATTCTTTAATGTTAGTCAGTGTGCCTTCCCTCACTCCGACGTGTCACTTCCTCTTTCTTTCCCTTCCCTCACACCTGCAACCTGTTAGCTCATCAGCTCAGGTCTTCTTCTTCTTGCAAGGCATTTTAAATGGATACCTTAGAGACAAACCTGCAGGTCTCTTATTGACCCTGGGGTCTGGAACACAGGCATTGTTTAGGATATTTGTTTTTGTTAAAATGTCACCAACCGGCTAATACATCCCAGTATTAAGAAATGATGTAGTTATTGACACTTATCTACCAGATTGCAGCATGTTGTAAAGTCCACCAGGTTTGGATCATCCCTTCAGTGACCATTTCATATTTTTTGGTCCTGGGCTTTGGACTTAGCTTCATCTTTCATCCATATTTAGAAAGGAGTGCATTGCCGTGTAGATTGAGGGCACCAATTAGATCACTCTGAGAGGTCTGCTGAAGTGGAACATGGTGTGCTGGAAAGCAGCGGATGACTTGAATACACGAGTACTCCTTTAGAACCGCTGTTTTGATATGTATGAGCTGTGTCTCCCTTTAAGGCGAGGCACAGTTCAATCTTGAATTTATGTTGGCAGACAGGAACATCCTGATCGGAGGAATCAATTTGGTTCTGGCCGAGCAGTGAAGTTGGGGAGCGGCATTATTTAAGATGAACCTGAGCCTCTCCTCCTGATGAGTGTCGATATAAGACGTTGACCAGCTTAATGATGACTAAACACCTTCTTTTTTTTTTCTGCTTGACTAAGCATAGCTCACCCCAACACACACACACCCACACGCATGCGCACCCGCACACACCTCCACCATTTACCAAATACACCTTAAACCCTATGGAGTTGGCCATTGATCAATGTAAAACCTGTCTCCTAAAAAGAGTCACAGCTCTGCAGTCAGGAGCTCACAGACTGCAGCAATGCAGGGAGTGGACCACCGACCCGGGAGACATGGAAAACACCCCTCAGTTCATGCAAGGTAGATTTCTCCTACGACATACTTTTTTATATGCATGGTTTCTTCAGATTTGTCTAAAAAAGAAAGAAACAGAGGCTTTTCTAAACTTGATAAAATAAGGTTAGAATAAAATGCATATTACAGTTGAGCTTATTACTTCTCAGGGAGCAGACTGCAAATTGATGAAATGGCTTTTCACAGTCGAGATGTTGAAAACAAGAGCACACACTAAGTGTACTATTATTATTGCACAACTTACCCCTCTGATAACAGAGTGAAAGTGAGGCTGATAAAACTACCACAAATGAGCATAATTGTTCCATTTCCAGCAGCTCTGATGAGATGCAATCAACTGGAGCAGTCGTGTTTGATTCTGCTGTACTGGACAGACAGTTTTCTACTGTCTCAGATTTTGGCTCAGAAAATATACAGAATAACAAAATAAGAAACCTTTCAGCTTTTGGTGTAGTGTTGAAATGCTGCTGGCGTCCTGAGGTGATGCAAGCTGGGAATGACTGAACAGAGGGAAACCTAGAGGCTGTTTGTGGTGGAAAAAGTTATCTGCTAACTGAGCTGGTTTGATTCACTTCTGTGCTAGAGAATACTTTGAACATTTGAAAATGTTACGGTACAATTCTCCCCGATATATATATATATATATATATATATATATATATATATATATATATATATATAATATATATATATATATATATATATATATCGCCAAACAACGTGAAAACAGTGCAGAAACTACTTTATTGTGTTTTTGTTGAACTTCTCCCATTAACAAAATCCATAAGTTGCAGTGCTAATTTAATAGAAGACAATTGCTTTTTTTCTATTTGCTAATCAGTTCTCGCCAAACCCAACTTTTGAAGTAAATTTCTAACTTTTGCAAATTAGCATAGCTCTGCGCCCCTTGAAAGAGATGTTTTCTTGTCTTTCCCACTTTGAAAAGAAATACTTAGAGAAATACTACAAGGATTTGTAAATCCTTCATAGTTCTTTGACACTGATGGACGAATCGTTTAGTTAGTTTTACTTTATAGGATTGCAGTTGGTGTTTTTCTAAAAAAAAAAAAATTTTTTTAAAGTACAAAATAAAAAAAAAATGTGTGAGTTTAATCTGCTGTGACAAAAAACAGATTTACTTTGACGGCCTTTACACTTTTAAAATTTAAAAACAAAGTCATATCTATACTGTAAACCTTGTTTGGCTCAGAGATGGACCAGATGGCTCTTCATGATGGAAGAGCGATCTTCCATCATAATCCTGGCTATCCGGGAGATGACGCTGTTGCCGTGTCGCCGTCAAGGCGCGCGCGCAGCGGCAGGCATCCAAAGCGGTGCGCATCCAGTTAGTTGAAACAGTCTGCGCTGTAGTACACAGGCATATGGTCGAGGAGATGAGCAGGAGACGGACGATGGTGCTTTTGCCTGTTTCCGCCAGCCTGGAAGAGGTTTTAGATTATCTGTAATCGTGCGCTGCGGTGCGTCGCAGCCTCTCACCTCCCGAGGATGTTCGGCGACAGAGAGGGCACTGTGTGGGACCGGGTCGGACGGCCGCACCGGGACTGCATGTGCTACCTTGGACCTCCTACTCTTTTGCCTATGTAAGACATCTTAAGTTATATATATAAATATATATAAAAGTGCTCTGGGGGAAGCGGGAGAACCTGTTGCGCTCTTGATTTCACCTGTGCGCACGGAAAGTTGACTTTATGCGCCGAGCTGCCTTATAGCTGAATTTTGCACTTTATGCTTGATGAATGTTTTAAATGCAAATAAATGGCGAAACTTACGTGCTATTTGCATTTGAATGGATTTACAGACTGGGTCGGTAAATGTTGTTTTGCCGTCACATGGCGATGGTTTTGTAACAGCAGAGGGGCTGACAGATCAACACGAGCCTCATTGTTGCGTTGCTGTTTTTTCTTACTTGCTTATTCGATATCAAGTAGGCTACTTATCTTCTCTAACCCTGGATAAGCTCGCGCCCACTGCGCGCAGTTTTTGTGGTCCAGTGCCCACTGGACGCCCTGAGATGTCTTTGGAGTTGCTTCTCCATCTCTGCAAATCACTCATGATCGAGTCATTAGCTACACACTCAGATAAGCCTGTAATAAGAGATGCTCTGTGCGTAGTAGCTATATACAATTGCAGGACCAGTCACTTTGGTTTAGTGTCATTCACTCTGCTGCTGTGCGGACCACAGAGAGATGATGATGATCATGACTTCTCTACGGTACAAGGGAGGCGCTACGGTCTGTGGGACACGCAACACCAGCCTCCCCTGGTTTAGCCTCTTATTTCTCCAGGTCAAATTGTATATGCTCCCCTTCTCTTTACCGAGCGGCCTCGCTCGGTCTGATAACATTGTCAGCCTCCTTTTGTTTTCTCTTCCCAGCGGGATGCGCAAGTCGCCCGACGTCAGCCCCAGAAGGCTTTCGGACATCAGCCCTCAGCTCAGACAGCTCAAGTACCTGGTGGTGGACGAGGCCATCAAGGAGGACCTCAAATCATCGCGCTCAGTGGAGGACATCAACAGCGCGTCCATAGAGGAGCGGATATTGCGGATCACCGGCTACTATGGATACCAGCCTTGGAGTACGAGCTACAAGAGTAAGTCTCCAAAATTGGATCTCTTTGCCGATTTGATCTCTTGATGACATGTTGATATGAAGTTTTAATAATAAAACAAGCTTCCTGAAAAAGACACTAAAAAAAGCCTAATTTGATACACAGTTGACAGTTTTCATCGTGTACTTAATCAGAATACTTTATATAAAGAAACTTTGAAAGTGAATAAAGATTGGTATTGAAATTATTACAACTTTAATCAAACAAATATGTTTAATATTGGGTACGTTCAGTTCATTTTAACAGAGTAGTGCCCTATTATGCATGGATCTGCAAGTTTCACATTGTGTGCTTTCCAAAGATGGAGGAAACCAGCCGTCAGTTTGGGCCTTCGGATTTCCAAAACCTCTTTCTTATTAGCTGATTATAGAGCCAAAATAGATCTTAATGTAATATTATGCATTCAGCATGGAATAAATTTACTGTTCCTTCTGAATCAATACCGAAGAAGATTTAATTTCAGTCATGATCTTTTTCAGTATTGCCAATACTTGCTATGTGTTTCTCAGTTGCTAAATCCTCAGAGTTGTTTTTTGTTGTTGTTGTTGCTGTTGCTGCAGAAAAATGGAGTTACAGCTTGGATTAGATCAGTGGGAATGTTGCTCCAGCTAGCGGATTCTCTGAAGAAAGTTTGCTGTCAAACCATCTTTTAATTTTCTTTCCTCATGTTCCTCGTCCACAATGCAAACAGAAGTTGCTTGTGTGAGGAGTATTGGATCTGATGCATAATAGGTGCAGATCTTGTTTGGTTGGTTCATCTGGCATCATAATGTTGCTGTCATTGTCTTATGACAATATGCAGAATCAATGATCAGCCCTCTTGTGTTTGTTATTCTTCTGCTGCTGTCGGTTAACTGGTGGTAAATCGGCTCAATTGTATGAGAATGCAATATTTAACAGATGCAGCATCTTCAGAGATCACATGACTGTACACAACACCATCTGAGCCCTGCGGAGCAAGACGGCAACTGTTTATATTTGAGTTGTGTGTTTATTTTATAGAAATGGCTTAATGTTTTGTAGTGAAAGAAAGCGAAAAAAACAAATAAAAATAAAATAAGAACTCTAAAATTTTAATGAAAAGTTTATGTTTTTTTCTTTCTTTGACACCTTTCCAGTACTACATCCGGATGGTTGTAATTGTTCTAGTCATAGTGTGCAGAATTCAACTCCTTACCAAGTTTCTTTGCAATAATGAAACCAATAATGCAAAATTCTATTGACACATCAAACACCACTTCCAGAAGTTGTTTCCACATAAGATTTTAAAAATATAATCATTCTATTTAATAAAAAGAAGACTTCTGATTCAGAGTTAAACTTAGTTATCTTTTGTTATCTAACCTACATCACATATTAGTGTGTTATAGATTTAGAGACACCATCAGTGTCACCAACTGTTGGTTAAATATAAATCATGTCCATCAGGGACAGTTTAAAGGGCCTTCGAAGAATGCAATTAAAGTAAATGAAGTAAATTAAAGATCATATGTATTCTGTGCAGAAGATCAATTATTTCTTACCATGAATCAAATCTATTAATTTGCACCAGTTAATGCCAAAATGCTAGCTATTAAATATTGAAAAATTATTGTAAAATAAGGACAAGACTCAAGTAACTTCATGTGTTGGGAATTTACAAATATCATTATGAGCAATGTTTTAAAATCATTAAGGCAACTTGTTATTTTTGAGCGTTTTTCAACTCAGCTGTCTGATTTTGCATGATTTGCTTTCAGACTTAATTGTCAAAGCTAGTCATTAGAGCACTTGAGCTGCCATTAAAAGGAGTGAGAGGCATGACACATTTTTTTTATTCTGCTGGTTGTCCAAAAACATTGTAGATCCAGTGGGAGAGACGGAGGTGTTAATCTAAACGGTATCTAGGTATTTTTACAACACAGCAAATTTTAAAATGCATCCAAAATGTTGGAAATACTTACATTTATATATGGTTGTGTGTAGCTCTAGTCATACCATTTGCGAAGGGCAATTATTTCAAGCAAATTTGCACCATTGTCTAATTGAATGCATTTAGACATTTAGTCAAAGTTGTGATGTGTGAAGACAGAATCTGCACACACTTCAGACAGATTTCATTGTCAATGAAACCAGTTCTTCCTAGCAGTCAAACTCACAACACAACTACCAGGACTCGCTGGGAACAACAAAAGCAACATTTAACGCTGCGGAGTGGAGGACTCGATGCTGAAGGCAACCAATTTCAGAAGAGGCTGCAGGCAGAGTGCTTCTCAGCAGAGCGCAAACAGAATCCTGTTTGTTTCATTTAGCACCAACCTTTCCAAATTGGCACTTGTGCTCTTTTGCACAGCGGTAAGCTGGGTGAAAGCAGGAGCTGCTGGTTGGTCATGACTCAGGCTACAGATGAGAGGTGGCTTTGCCTTTTGTTTTGACTTAATAGATCATCTCAGTGTCCTAAGCTTCAGGGGTCACACACATGCACAGACACATGCTGTATTCTGTAACAGGCATTTGAGCTTAACAAAAGTGTGAAAAAAAACTTGGCTTTTCATTGAGTCAGTGAGTCATGTTCCTCCTAAATCCAGTACATGCAAACTCAAAGCAGCATTGAAGTAGTGTTTTGCTTTTGATGTGTCCTGCTGCTTTGTCCATTTTATCCCGTAGTACCACTGCCCTGAATTTAAGCTGGATTAGGTTTTTGTGAACAAGGCTATGTGATAGCCACAATAATGCACCCACTATGTTTGAATGCAAGATTAATATGAGAGCACTCTCCTGTCCAACAGTACAGCCAAAATGGTGGCAGCCATTTTCTTTTTGGAAGATGAAAGTGTTGTTACATCTTCCTGAGAGAAAAAACATTATTTTATTTTACTTTGAAAAACAAATAGAGAGATCGGTCTCAGAGAAAATGACGACTCAACAAAGAGACGACAGTGAGAACAGATGACCAAATGTAAATCCAATCAGAAGTTTGTATTCAATCATCATAGATATTTATTTATTTTTTCTAGGAAGCTACCATAGGGCATTCACCATGAATGATTCTGCGAAACAAGAATTCCCAGGAAGGTGAATAAGGTTACATTTATTGTGAATTTCTCTCATTTTTACAGACACAGTTGAAATGAATATAAGCATCCATCATCTAAAGTGAATTTGAAATTAAAGGAAGCTAACATCAAACTTCTGGAATGTTTTGTCTTAATGCCAAAAATGAGACATTGTGAAAACTATTAAATTGTACTAAACGTCTCTGTCCAGGACAGAAAACCTACCAACACTTCTGATAATCAGGGATGTTTAGCAGGTAGAATTATGACTGAACTATTTTTGATGGCTTCAAAGCTTGTCTGCAGTATTTAGCGAAACCTCTATATACTATTGTCTATATATGTATATTTAGTTATTTGAGTGATTGTTGTGCTGGTTGTATGTCTAGCAGTTATTTGGCAAGTGGCGAGGTTGACCGTGCAGGACACCAGTCTAAACATAGAGCAACACAGAGACACATAAGATCAATAACCATTCACAAACACATTCATGCATAAGGACAAAAATGTGAAAAGGACAAATTAAGCAGACAGTTATGATTGGGGAGAAAGCTGATATACCAAGAGGGCATTGAAAAGAGGGGAGAACAAGCTGACTTCATGCATAAAGAACCCAGGTTCTAACTCCTAACACAAGAGGGCAAGAATATTTGACACTACATACTTTACATGACTTACTCTTGCAAAAATGACACAAAACACGAGACCTTTGTCTCGTGTTTTGATACACAGTTGACAGTTTTCATCGTGTGTACTTAATCAGAATACAAAACCACCACTTTTATTGGTGGTTTTGTCACCAATAAAAGTAGATTTTATTGGTGACATAAAATCTACTTTATGTGTATTTTGACCCGATGTGGACTAGGCATAGTCTAAAAAAAATAAAAATAAAAAATCTAATGTGTGCCCAATTATTGATTCTAAAAAGCACTGCAGTCCTTGGCTATTTAAATATTCTGCAGAGGAATATTTATGAGCCCAAGATTTACTCATTCATGCTGTGTGTGTAAATATCTCCCTGGAGTTGTACACCACAAATTAGTATCTCATTCATCATTTTATGTATTCTCCTTAACTACTTATTTTGTATTTTTTCATCTTTGGGGATGGTAAATTTGCTTAGCTTGAATCTTTCAGGGTTTAACAATAAAAAAGTGACTGACAGACATCTCATCACTGTGACAGAAATTTGAACTTTCCAGTTTTATTACAGAGTGGAAGAACTATTACAGTCAGATACATTCTGACTTTGCTGCCTCATGTGTTCCCTCTCACCGCTCGGTTTTACTTCTGCAGAATTTGAGCAGGATGCCATCCGATAACACCTCCCCGATATTACGGATAATGAAACCCATCTAAATGTTATCCTCTCAGACAGATAAGAATTTAAAATGGAAAAAATAGGGAAATGTTAAAGTTACCAAAAATGTTTTTACTTGCTGAAAACCATGAAAAGAAAGTGGATGAGAGTGGATCATTACCATTTTCTTTATCTGAAGAACACACCACATTTTTCTGTTTCTTAATTAAATTAAGACAACTAAGAAACCTAAGAAACGAGTAGCAGGGGCAATCTGTCAGAACATTAAGTAAAAACAATGACCAACGTTTTTTTGTGTTGTTCTGAATGTGTTAGTGACTGTATGGTTGTTCAGGAAGACTTTCCAGGCATGAGTCGGGTTTGAGGGCAAACAGGATGATGTTTGAGCAGATAGAAAGTATGTCTTCTTAGATCAGGTCACTGCCTTTGTCGGTGAACTTGTTATTTTGGGTTTGTGATGGTCTTCTGAGAAGTGAACCATTTGTCAGACAAACAGACTTGGTTCATTTTCCTAATTTACTCACACTATCCATCACAAATGTAACTCCCCTCTGGAGCAAATTTAGAGCTTCACGAGGCATGAAATGAGGTTGGGTTCTATTTTAAGCTGAGGGGTTGGACGT